AATGGGCCTGTCGTCTGTTCACCTGGCATTGAGCCTCCAGCCTTACATAATCATTTGTGGATATACCCAAGGGTTTCGCTAGCTAATATTTCAGCTTTTAGAGGTCATCAGAATTCTTCAGGAAAGATGGATTTGGTAAATAATAGTCTGCAGCAGAAAACTAGAGGTGAAAAGAAAGCAGAGTTCGGGTGATGATAAACTCTGTAAAATGGTCCAAAACCTGTCTGAGAAATAATCTTTTTACTTCTATTTCAATCAAAGTCCAGGGAGAGAAGAAAAGGAAAATGCATCTAAGGAGCACTGGTGGATCCAGGCTGCTTTAGCCTTCATGGGTTAATAGCTCATTTTCAGTGTTTCTGAAATTGCAGGAAGTGGTCTGAGGCCAAGAAGGAATAATGACTCAAGGAGACGTAATTTCTAGGGAGGCAGTGAAGTCCTGCAGTTCTGCTTTGAAGGAAACATAAGCCACAAAATGATAGTCTCTGCAGTTTCAAGGTTAGCAGAAAAACTGGTGGTTAGAGGAGAGAAATCTGAGGAAGGAAGCAGAAAACACGAAACGATCTCTGTGTGTCTGTGTTTGTGCAATATTGTACCATGTAGCCAATGCCTTTTGTCCTTTACTCAGGGCTCTGAGCTTTTACAAGATCATTGCAAGATATGTAGCAGCTTTTCCATTCAGTGTATTTCATGTTAACTAACATGTTAATTCAACATGGAAGCCTTGGGCTCTGGGCTTTGAAATGTTTTAGTCATAACTGTCCTCAGTTAGGCAGTGGACAGATAGGGAGAGGATCTGCTCGTCTTGACCTTCTACCAGATGAGAGGGGTTGACAAGTGCTGGATCAGGCTGCCCAGGGAGGTGGTGGAGTCATTATCCCTGGAAGCATTTGAAAGATGTGTAGATGTGATGCTTAGGGACATGGTTTAGTGGTGGACCTGGCATTGCTAGGTTAACAGTTGGACTCGATAGTCTTGAGGACATTTTCCAACCCCATGCAACGCTACAGGCTTGGGGAAGGGTGGCTGGAAGGCTGTACAGTGGAAAAGGACCTGGATATTCTAATTGACAGCCGGCTGAATATGAGCCAGCAGTGTGCCCAGGTGGCCAAGAAGGCCAACGGCATCCTGGCTTGCATTAGAAATTTTGTGACCAGCAGAAGAAGGGAGGTGATTGTCCCTCTGTACTCAGCACTGGTGAGGCCGCACCTTGAGTATTTTGTTCAGTTTTGGGCACCTCAGTACAGGAGAGATATCGAGGTGTTGGAGCGAGTGCGGAGGAGGGCAGCAAAGCTGGTGAAGGGCCTGGAGAGCAGATTGAGGGAGCTGGGTCTGTTCAGTCTGACGAAGAGGAGGCTGAGGGGGGATCTCATCATGCTCTACAATTACTTGAAAGGACATTGTAGAGAGGTTGGTGCTGGTCTCTTCTCACAGGTAATTAGGGACAGAACCAGGGGGAATGGTTGCAAGTTGCAACAGGGCAGGTTTAGGCTGGACATTAGGAAGAAATTCTTCACAGAAAGAGTGGTCAGACACTGGAACAGACTGCCTAGGGAGGTGGTTGAGTTGCCATTCCTGGATTTATCGCTTAGATGTGGTGTTGGGTGATATGGTCTAGGGGTGAACTTGTAGTGTAGGGTCAATGGTTGGACTTGTTGATTCCCAAGGGTCTTTTCCAACCTGAATTGTTCTATGATTCTATGATTCTATGATTCTATGATTCTATTCTGTGATTCTCTTTATCCTGTGGCAGTGATGGCTGTGCACATCTTGCACCACTGTTGTTGCCACTTCTGAGGGTTTTCCATCAATCAATACACTCACATCTGAGAGTTATGGACCAAATGATCACAAAGACCAAAGCACACCACTACAAATCAATCTCCCTGAATCGACAGAGGCACTAAAGTTAGCTCTAGCCTAAATTTAACCAGAAATTCTCCCTGGAGCCAGTGGAGAGAGTCACTTCTGGAAGGCAATTCAGATCAGGAATCTGACTGCAAGGGCAGCATTAACCTTTATGACTGTTCTCCCTTTGCCAAGAGTCAATGGGATAAACTTGTAGCTGAGCAGGGAAGACTTATACTGGCTAAGAAGTAGACCTGATATCCACAAAATTACCACATTTTGTGCTCTATAACACAGAATTGCCGTATGTCTCCATTTATGGGGATTGGATATGGGGGTTGTGGAGGGAATTGCTTTCCTGGGCAGGTTAATGCAACAAGAGGCAAGCAGCTCCACAGCCCTTAACCTTCTTAAAGCCCATAGTCTCAGTCCTCCTATGCTTTACTCTGTGCTGTGCTTCATTATGGAGTCTTTAAACACCTAAGCTAAAGATAGAGAAAGTAATTTTAAGAGAAAACACAACTTTGGCTCCTTTAGTTGGATTTTCGGAGAAATAACGTTCCTCCTCGGTTAAACTTATTAGATTTTTGTAATTTTGTTTATATAGTATCACAAAGTCCAAGCACTATGGACTAGACACTCAAAATTAATACCCAACTCTAGAATATTTAATAACTCAAGATAAATGAATGTATTTAGAAAAAGGAGTTTTAAACATTACAGCACTTTTGTTCTTTTTATTTTTCTTCCATATATGGAACTCCTCTTTACAATTTAGTAACAAATCCTATCAGTTCTGCTCTTATTTTTAATAATAATATTGCATTACTTGAAGAATTGCAGCTTCAAGATGAAAACATAAGTGAATGCTTGGAGTATATGAAAACACTTTTTAATACCTTGGGTTTGGGTTTGTCTTTAGTTATTTGTTTGGGGTTTTTTTATCATCAAAAGGTATACATACCAATTTTTCTTTGTTTTAATTATGTATGGAATATCTTGCTCTTTGTAAACAAAACACACAGTTATTTAGCATGCAGATTTTAGCTCAGGGATTTGAAGCAGTGTGGTGTGCTAAGACAAACATTCTATTTCCATTCATTTACACACAGAAGTTTGTCAGGACTCGACAGATACTGCTGAATAATCTCAACTTTTCTTTGTGTTGTGATTTTTATTTTCCTTACTGAATTAATATGCTAAACACATTACTGGAGCTGCTGGTGAAGAGAAGATATAGTGTTTCTGACAGATCCTTCACTGCTGTAAATCAGCATAGTGCCACTTACATCAGCAAAGCTACTATTTACCCCAGATGAACATCTCCTCCTTGAGTTCTAATATTAACCCAGTTAAAAATAGGAGATTTATATTTAAACTTCTGCTTCCTGAAGTGACAGTAGGTGGGCCAACTTGCAACATGATCAACATTCAGGGCATTATCTCCACTGGAATCCATTTATGTCAGCTCCTAACAATGAAAACATAATGGCTTTTTGGAATTGCTATTGCTTTAATTTTTACAAAAAAATAAGCAAGAATATTTTTTTTGTAAAAAGAATACTGAGCTCTGGTTCAGAATGCATGCGAGTGCACTAACAGCACTCAACACGAAATCGTAGGCATCTGGGTATACCCCTCATTCCCTGAAGCAATACTTTTGGGTGGTGTATTGGCATTGCCGATGGGGAGTAGCAATGGGGATGGGGGGAGATCTCAGAGCTCTGTTGCCAATGTGTAACTTCTGATTTAGTTCTATAATAAACTTAAGAGACATTGGTGATGCTCAGAGCCATTCGAGATGCCCAAACTTATTTAAGAGACTGCCAGAGAAGATGCAGGATTGGCAGGAAACCCATTTATTTCTGCATGGCACCTGAAGGGCCACTGGGATAACTGGGGCATCTTTAGTGGCACTGGACAGTTTTGTGTGGGCAGATGAGCTGGGCTGTGTCTCAACATCTGCAGCCACCGTTTTGCAAGTTATTTTTTTGATCACACTGATTGTGCCCTATCAGAAGATATTGGCCTTCAGCAAGGTCATGTGCTGGCTCATTTTAATTGCTGTGCCATATATTACACCTGTGAATGTTGTCACTAACCAAGTGACATTAACAAAACATGCCTTGCTGTAAACTTATATATAGATTTAAGTGTCTACAAAATTGAGAGTTGTGTTCAAGTCACTATTAAATATTGAGTGGCTAAAAAAGTGTTCAGGACATTACTAAACTACAATGAAAACTGTCTAAACTATACAGACCATGGGACTGAGACAGTCATTTTTTGATGTGTGTTGATGTATGTTGAAATGATTGGACTTATCCAGGTGCCAGAAAAAGAAGTCTCTCTTCTCTGTTGTTGGGGGTTTTTTTGAGTATAAAATCTACAATATTTTAATGTTATCTTAAAGTAATCAAATATGCTTTGTTACTGGCATTAAGTATGAAATCTGGAAAAAAAAAAGAAAAACAATTGTTGTTAGAAGATTTGTCTCAGGGAAAGTAAAATTTTTCTTTTTCAGATTTAAATATGTGTGCACACTTACTTAGGTCCAATTTTATTCCACTCATCTTGAAGCATCTCACATTTGGTGTACACTTGCTTGTTATCCAGCCTTCGAGACCACATCTAAACTGTGAAGCCACCCATGGATGGTGGCATGCCCTATATATGTTGGGTAGGAACAAGTCTGGAATACCAGAACTCTGTTCTGATTACCCAGGTTCCTGAGGAAATCAAAGCATGGGAAGGCATCTTGGGCATGGCTATCCTGTAGATAGGAAGGAAAATATCCATTTCTCCATATCAGTACAGACACCAACCTGGTGGTGAGATGGCAGCCTGGGGAGAAACTGTTTGTGGTGTAGGCACTTTCAAGGTCAGGCTGGGCAGGCTGTGAGCAACCTGATCTAGTTCAAGATGTCCCTGCTCACTGCAAGGGATTTGGACTTGATGACCTTGAAAGGCCCCTTCCAACCAAAACCATTCTGTGATTCTATGACTCTAGTTAAGTGCTCACAGCTAGGGGGAATCTGGGCCTTTGAATTTAGGAAGGATCCCAGGCAGACAATCGTGACAGCTGCCATGCGAACAACCTTTACGAATCCATGCCAGTCTTTTCTGACACCCAACACCTGGCTCCTTTTCTGTAGTGAGAATGGCTGGACCATTGCAGTGGCGCACTGGTTTTTGTGGATGGTGAACACAAAAAAGGGATTGAGAAGAGACCACCCGAGTTATTCTGATGCATGAGTGCTTTCTGTTCTTAGACAAATGAGGATCTGAGATATGTAAGTACATTATCTTTTTTTTTTACATTTATTTGTGAAAATGAAAGGAAGAGAAAAAACCTTAGTCTATCATGGATGTGGGATTAATACATTTACCATTTTCTTTTGATGTGTGTTCATACTTAAGTGGAGTTGATAAATCAAGCTATTGCTTGTGATATTTTAAAAGATCATTATTTGTCTCTTGATTCCATCCTTGTTTTTCTTCAAAGAAATGAAAAGAGCAAAACCCATGAAATTATATTTGTAGTGTCATTTTAAATTTGCTCTCTAATAAATAGTGATCACTTGTAAAATCCATTTTTTTTCGGTATTGTTAACAAGAGATTTAACCAAAGTGATTGAATCAAGAGAAGAAATGATCCCAGGTTCCTGAAGCTTGAAAAAATGACAATGTCAATGTTAATGTGCTGTTCAGGATGTTCATTTGTAGTATAAGAAACAACCTAAATATAATTTCATGGCATCTTGTGTACTACTTAGCATAATTTATTCTGTACTACAGAGCCTTCATTCTCTGTGTTTCACCAGCATTTCCAACCCATCAATACCTCCCAGCAGTCACTTTTTTATTCTTCTGCACTCCCAGTACAAGCAAAGATAACATTTTCCCAGCAAATACAAACTCTATGTTGACTTCCAATTAGGCAATTTTATGTTGACTTCCAATACTTTTGCTGAATGAAGGTAACCACCACTGATTTTACAGAATCATGTGAATTTACGACTTCTGACTCATCTAATGATGCTGCATAAGATGCCTTTTACAACTGTATTATCCTCCATAAACCATTATTTGTGCTTAACAGATAATATATAGAACGTGCCTGCCACGGAACACCTGCGTTTTGCAAACAAGTGCACATCCCGAATTATTTCAGAGAACGAAGGAAAATCAATAGAAATTTGAAATGTTCTTAGAGTGCTACATATACCAAGGCTTTAACTAGTCATAGATAAAGATTTAGAAACACAATTAATTTTAGTTCTACAACTTCAAGTCAGGGAGTCTACTTCAAAGTACAGAAACAAGTCAACAAGAGCTGTAATGACCTGGCTTGTAAGGACAAGGCTGAGTCCTATGATATTTCTGGTTTTGAAATCCAGCACAGGAGAGTGTCGTTATTCAAATAGGGTTCAAAGTACAGCTTTAAGTTCCAAGGATGTACTGATTCTCCTCTAGTTTTAAACAATAAGCATATGCTTGTACTCTTCTCACAGTCCAGGTTATAATTACATATTTCAGATTATTGTGTTTATATATCATTACTAGATAATTCAGACTAGCCTGAATTCTTGCAGCTTTGGGCAAGTTCTTGAGAATACACATTGTAACAGTGACAGGTAGATTGTTTTCTATACATCTTTATTAAAACAAATGTATTTTAAGGAATGTTTAGATTTCTGACTGTGGCTGACTGATTTGTAGAGACTGTAATAGCAATAATGTCATTAGATCAAGCTCTTTTCTCTTTCGGGGATTCCCAGAGATATTTCAATAAAAGGAAATATAGCCTAGAAGGAAATATAACCTCTACTGTGTTAAAGGGAGAATATAAAGTTTTTCAGGACAAATGAAAAGTGTAGTGAGGCACTAGTAAAATGCTTGAATTTCCTTTCGGAAAACAAATGAAAAGGCTCCATGTGGTAAAGTGGGACGGTTGAATATTTTCTCAGACATATAAATATGCGAAGGATGTTGATGATGCCATGAAATATTTGCGTATCTCCAGATAGGAGCTTTTATATCATAATTCATTCAGGAACCATTAAAATATCTCATTCCTGGAAGAGAAAGCCCTCCTAAGTATCAGGACTTTCTTAAAAACGAGGAATAAAAACTCAGTTGCCACAAATCGTACTTTTTAAGAGACCTATCAACCTAACCTAGACTTTTTGACAGTTATGGAAACAAGCCAAGATTATTTTAAAAGCTCATATTGTGCTGGGGGTAACCATTCCCTTCCAGATGTATTGCATACACCCTGCTATGTGTAGGGTGTGATATACCTATACAATATATCCAGTCAAGAAAAAAAGAAATTAAAAAAGCAACAAAAAACCTCTACATTTATGGAAAAGTGTGCTAATATCTGGGTGTCTATGGATAAAACGTAGTGCAAATACATTGTCCTAGCAGATGAAAGGGAAGGACATAAATGAAGGGTTAGTCCTTTCAGTGGTTCAAAGGCATTAATCAGTGCTACATATCTTCTGGAAAAGACTGAATGGGGGATCCATCTGTCTTGGTTCCCCATGGTTACTATCTGCTTGGAAATCGTATCCACTGTTCCCTCTATGGGGAACCCTGGCAACTGGGGGGCACATGAGTTGTCTGAACCATGCGCCTCTCCACATGTCACCAGGATGGAGATTTACATTTGAAACAGGAATTTGTTTATAACCTTGCAGAAATCCACAAGAGTAATAAATGGTTCTTATCAGTCCGTCTCGCCAGGTTTGAGTTCCTGCAGAAATGTTGCCACATAAGGATCTCCTCTGAGGTGCTCAGATATCAGTGTGATTAGCCTGGCAGACAGACCTCTGTATTGGGGAAGCAAGGTCAGTGCTCCTGGGACAGTAGGAGACATAAAGATTCAATAATAATATCTTATTATTCTATCAAATGATGTCTGCAGAACACTTTAAAATCATTATGTGAAAGACAAAGGATGCTATATAGAGAGAGAGGGGTAAAGGCTGACATTTCTACAGTGCATTTAATTAACAGAATTCCATGCAAGCCTGGCCTTTGGAAGAAAAATAATCTTTGATTGCACACTGGGCACTTTGAGTTTCCATAATAAACACACAGGGAACCCCTGCAAGGCAGCTACTGAATCAAGGCTATTGTTTTGCTGGTGCCACATCCTGAAAAACCCCAAGGTTGAAAGACCTTCTATAGAAGTGAAATTTGTTTTGCACACTACAAGAAGGGGGTTGATGGAGACAAGAAACGGCAGCAGTAATTGATCATTTTTATTAACGGTGCTTCTCAAGCTGTTGGAGCTCTTGACATCATAGCTGAATTTCAATGGGGAAATGGAATATGTCGAGGTAGGAATGTTTTCCCCGAGCCAGTACAGGTACTGATCATGGGAAGCATTGTGGTTCCTTTCATTGAGAAGTGCTCAAATGAGCACTGGTTAGCACATTTTTTATTGGTTCCTACTAATAAATTGTCATTTTCTCTTCTGCCAGCAGTGCCCTAACACACCCAGACTGCAAACTAACAAACGGCAAAATAAAGCCACTTATTGCTCCATGTCAGGGTTCACCCCTATTGCTATGGAAAAGGGACATAGGAGATGATCAGAAATGATATTGTGACCATGCCCTTAGATCACACATTGTATCCCACATGGCTTGTTCTTTCTATGGTCACATTTCAGTTTTGGACCCTTGTCTGCAGCAGAAAATCAAGGGCAATGGTATGGCTCTGTGTGGAGACCACAGGGCTGAGAAATTGCAAAGTAATCTCACATCTCTGTTTTTACAGGGGACTGATAGGTTATATCAGACTATTATGCCCATTTAAACAATGAAATTAATGAGACTGACTGATATTCATAAAGGACGTGGAGATAAATACAATAAAAATACTTCTTAGTAGTTACATGTTTTGATTATTTTCTCCTTAATCATACACTTTTTTCCAGAAAATGGGCCCAGGATGGGAATAGGTGATGTACTTAAACTCTTGCAGCTTCCACTACATAAATTAATTTCCAGCACCCTGTCCTTTAGTGGAAAATATTAAATTGCACTACCTGTTTCATTAGACATGGATCATTTCTACAGTGCATGGTTGGCATTGCTTCATGATAACTGATCAGAAGGATTTGGGAAGGGCATAGAATGCCACAAAACTTGAAGATAAAGCTGATTATGGTTTTAGGGGTGGGACAAAAAAAAACATATTTGGTGATGTACATGGTAATTCTTTCCTCAAATATAAATCTGTTGGGATAACTGCCTTAAGTGGAGTGAGGCACAGAGGTCTCCTAGAAACCAAAAATATCTGTAGAAATTGAATATTTGTAATGGAGTTAACAAGACTGCCACTGTAGTAGCTTCAGGTTTGAAATCACTATTGTTGCCCATCTATGAGAGGATAAATTGTATAACAGGTGAAAAATAGTTAAAAAAATAAAGATTGCCAAAATTCTTTTTTCGGAACTTTTTCGACATGAAGGTGTTTGAACAGATTGGCTAGGGAAGTTGAGTAATCTCTGTCCTCGGTGACTTTCAAATAGTGGGACAAGTTCTTTAACCACCCAATCTAACTGCTTTTGAGTTGGAGGTTTGGCTACAGATCTCCAGAGGTCGTCATCAAACTATTTTGTGATCCTAGGAAGGGAAGCCAACAAAGAAGAAAGATAAAAGAAAAGTCTGGAAAGTGTATCTTTGTCACTGTCCAAAGGCATCTGTTCCAAAGGCATCTCTATAGCTACAGATGTCTTAATGGGACAAGGAGTTTTTCTGTTTATCTACTTCTTAGAGGGAAGGACAAGTCCACCTTCTCTGACAGCCACAACTAACTTTCAGCTAAATGTTAGATGAAGTTTCCTTTCTCCATGTCACTGCTTTTATAGAGGGGATTTAACACTGCCTATTCTACACTAGATATCCACATGCAAAGAAGAGGGATAAGATTCCTTGCTGGAGGCTTTTCCATCCTTGTAACGTCCCTTCATACGTAATGTCATTGCGGTTGCTATACGTGAGCAGTAAAGTGAGCTGTTATCAGCCACTTCAGAATATCCCTGGTAAGGAGGAGGTTAATCCTCCTTATTGCTCATAACAGCAGCACGTTGGATAGCCAAATCCACACTGCCTGAGGGGTCAAAATGTGGGTCAAGTGGCTACTCCCATTCTTGAATTTTCCTGCAGAACGTGCACTGTGATTTGCTTCAACCCAAAGTCAGACTGTCAGCCAACAGAGAGGTCATATCAACAACATTGACATGCTCTTTGGGATCCCCCTACCATCCACTCCC